CGCAGAAACCTGCCTGCATAAAGCTGAAATTCTTCAAGACCTGAGTATGTGGGTCTGTGCTGTGGGACGTGTGGCCCAGCAGCCATTTCCAGTTGGGTTTTAATGGAGTGTCCCTGAGTAGGTGTGGGGTTTCCGAATGGTGAGGAAAACTGAGTATAACAGTGCCCAGGGTCTTTACTCCCCACCATGGCTCCCTGCCCAACATCCACCGCTGTCATCTCTGGGTGGAAGACGTTTGCATTTATATCCCACCTCGTAATGCCACTGAGGGGGGACAAATGACAGATTGATCAAGGCGTGGATTACATCAGGGATAATATGAAATAATGGCAGTGGCAGCAAACCCAAAGCACAGAGAAACTGTGTTTCTCAGGGATAGAAATAGGGGCAAGGTTTCCAAATGGTGGGGAAAAGTGAGTGCAACAGAAAGTGCTCAGGGACTTTGCTCCCTGCCATGGCTCCCCACCCAACATCCACTGTCATACGTTAAAGAGTCTTTCTTTCTCTCTTAGTCACTCACAAGGCTTCACAGTGGTGGTGCAGATGCTTGCCAGGAGTCCCTTTAAAGTGTTCTGGAAAGAAACTCTTCCCCAAACGGCGTCACCCCTCTGGCTCCATGGTGTTTCTGGACAGGTGGATAATTCCTGTACCCCACTGTGGTGGGTTAACCCTGGTGCCCGCTAAAGCTGCTCTATCACTCCCCTCATCAGCCTGACAGGAGAGGGGAAAGGCTCGTGAGTTGAGATAAGGACAGGGAGATCACTCACCAGTTACCGTCACGGGCAAAACAAAGTCAGTTTGGGGTAATCAGTTTAATTTATTACCAATCAAATCAGAGTAGGATAATGAGAAATAAAACCAAATCTTAAAACTCCTTCCCCCAACCCCTCCCTTCCACAAGGTGCAGTCCTTCAGGAACAGACTGCTCCAACATGGAGGCGCACAAGTCCTGCCAGCAAACCAGCTCCGTCACGGGCTCCTGGATGTGATGGAAGCTTCTAGCAACTTCTCACAGAAGCCCCCTCTCTAGACCCCCCCTGCTACCCAAACCTTGCCACACAAACCCAATACACCCCCTTGGTTCTGATCTGTGTCAGTTCAAGACCTGTTGCTTCTCAACTAAAAAAAAAAACACAACAAAAACCCCACAAAACCAACCAACACCCCCGCCAAACCAACAAAAAAAACCATAAATAAAATGTTAACGGTTCTCTTAATGCGTTTTTCTAATTATTAATAAACACTTTTGCTGGTCTTGGAGAACTGGAATGCCATTTTATGCCAGGAGGATGTGAACAGGAGTTATTCAGTCCACCAGGTGGCAAGATTTAAAAGCACCAGCAGATTTTAGGTGCAGCTTGATCCCATTAAATGCAGTGAAATGAGCTTGGTTTCCTGGCGCTCACATGAAGCATGAATAAAGGGTTGGAAATTGCAGGGAGAGAAGCTGCAATATTGTTGTGCAGTGCAGCCAGGAAACAGGATCATAGTCCCAGTGAAATTACAACAAGAAAAGCTCAAAGATTAAATAAATTTAAAGAACTGAGAAATAGAATAAATAAAGCAGAGATGAGGCTGATTAAGATTCTCCTCCTGTTGTGTAAAACCCTTTCTGAGGAATTCACAGTGCTCCAAGCCAGAAAATAATTCACAGGAAGATTCTCATTGGACTTCAACAGATCTGGGGTCAGGAAAACATTCAGAGAGAAAGAAAGAAAGAAACTCTTCACCCATATTTACTGCTTTAAATCAAGAAAAATGTTTCAGAGTCTGAAAACCTTCTCAAGAAATACAAAGAATTCATTGGAAGCTCAGGACACGATTAAAACAGAGGTAGCTGTAATGCTGCTTCCGACCGAGGAATTGAAATGGAAGTTAAATCCACACGGAGAACGACTTCTGCCCATCGATTCAAAGCAGTGCAGCCTTCCTAAAACCCGTGTCAACGGCGTGGAGCATCTTCTGAATGGATTTGCTGGTACTTGGTCACCAATTTCTCCTGCTCCTTTGTCTCACCGGTTTTATGATCACTACCAAGGCTTTCATTGCATTCTTCACTAAGTGAAATCAGAGAAGCGAAAGGGCTTGAAGATGAGGAAACCCTGACAAAATTCAGCGAGTAGGTTCTGATTCACCTCACAAGAGAACTGAGATGATAAAAGAACGGATTCTGCGCTGCTCGTGCTGCCTCCCAGTCGTCCGACTTCAGGCAATGGCACGGGTGGCTGCTAGGCCATCCATAAGGTGAATTTCTGTGTCTTAACTATGAGCTTACTCTAAAGGCCTTTCGAGTTGAGGGAAAGGAGTTCATTAAAACAAAAAAGAACAGGGGAAAAAAAAAAACAACGGAACAATCTGAAAAATAAATATGTGGAAATCAAGTAAAATAACGACAGAACAGCATACTAAATTTAGAAGTAATTGAAGCAGTCACCCAAAAAGTGTTCAAATGGTGCGAGAAATGAGGAGAAGGAGCGGGTGATATAGAAAAATAACTTTAAAATCTTTGGTAACGATGAATTCTTCAGATTGTTACAGTACTTGTAATCTAAAAATATTCTCCTATTATTCATGTAAGCATATTTTATAATTTATTTCCTAGTACACTTTATTAACAAAAATTTGTACGATAAAAAGTCAGAAGGATACGAAGAAAATGTCTTATCTGAAGAGCTGGCTTCTAAAACGTGTTTCTTAATGAGCGTAGCGTGTTACCCTGCTCACATAATACCGAATTTTCCAGGCAAGAAGTTTGTTTTTCCTTGGGATGTTGTGTTTTTCCCATCGCTGGGCTTTGAAGGTGTGTCCATAGTAATATATCTGATCTGAAAACCACCAGCAGTCACTGAGGCGTCCGTCAAAAACTTCAAGGTCATCACGTTGCCTGGCAGAAGAGAAAGAAAAACAGAGGTGACGTTTTTGGGTGGCATAAAAATGTGATACTTCAGAGTTATTTTTCAAGTGCTCTTTCTTGCTTTCTTCTGGGCAATCCTTAGAGTCTCTCTCCATCCAAGCTGCGTCCTGGATTATAGTTCCATTATCCCCATGGAAAACCAGGCAGATTTTCGTCAGCTTGCCTTCTTTGCAGAGCCCACGGGTTGATAAATTTTCGCTGTACCCAGTGCTGTCTGCAAAGCATTTCTGATTCTTTAAAGCGCTGCTCTGCTTCGCTTTGCCTGTGCAATGTCGCACCTCATGTGTGAGACACATCAGGCACAGAGCCTCATGGATCCCCAGGTGACACAGGGGGGCTCCATCACTCTCCATGAGTGTCATCAGCTCCTCTCCACCAGGCCTGTGTAAATGGGGAGATGGGGATGGCACAATTCGAATTACGTGGTTTCTTTCTGATTTTGTGTTTTCTTTCTGGTTTTGTGTCTCTTTCTGGTTTTGTGTCTCTTTCTGATTTTGTGTCTCTTTCTGATTTTGTGTCTCTTTCTGCTGAGGACAGCTGTGGCAATGTGAATTTCTGCTCTGACTATCTGTGGTCCCCAAGGAACACGGCTGCTTCCTGGCACAGGATGATGCTCTGCCACAGTGACTTTGTGACGCTTGAGCAAAAAGAGGTAAAAGTGGCTTTGATTTACACATGATCACACCCTGCCCTGCAGTTTAAACACACACACACACAGAATAATGTCTATAACCAGCCTTGGAAGTCTCTTTAAATGGGAAAAACTGGTGCATGAGGAGCGCAGGCATAGGCAGGGCTCGTGTATCGATGAGGGATCTGCTCCATGAAGACTCCTGTGTGCAAACTCCTCATCGTGTGGAGGTGGTGCTGCTGCTGCAGGGCCAGCAGGATGCACCCTGCCTGTCTTCTAAAGAGACTTTTTTCCTTTTACATGTATTTCAAAGTAGTTGCATTGATGACAGAGCACGCTGGCAGTTTTGAATGGCAGCTTACGACACGGAGCAGAGATTGTGTCTTTGGGCACCTTTACTGTATGTTATTAGAAACCATGAAGAGTGCAAATATATTACCTGTGCTAATGATATCATCTGGCAACTCATCTCCACAAAACCTGGAAAAAAATAGAGATGCTCGTGACTAAATGACACAGTAAATATGTCAAACCCCACTATATGATGATAGACAGCGAACGGTGGCTCTCAGGATGTGCTCGCCTCTGGAGCCGAGGCTCATGGGGCTAAACTGATTATAGACATTCACTGCATGTCATCCTCTGCTACGTGGTAGATCAATTGCCTAAATATTTTTTGTTGTTATCTTACAGTAAGGTTTAGAGGAGGGAAAAGGGCAGGAAACATTTTTCAGTATAGGCAGGAAGTAAATGATGCAAAAAAGAGCAATTGAACA